CTGTTGTGCTGTTTCCATGGAGGTGCAGGAGTTTAGATGGTAATGAATAATGAGCCAACACTGAGTGAAAATGTGGCAGGAACAAAAAACATCCAGGGGTTGAAGAGGGTTACAGAGAGTACACAGGACAAAACAAACAGCAAACCAATATATGAATACAAATTGAAAAAATAAAACAAACAATAAAATAGTGACAGTAAAATAAAACATTACAAAGATGCTTGGAAAGATGATGGACCTGAAAAAAAATCACAGTTCTAGGGTAAGCTGCAATAAAGTGATGAAGAACTTTATCAGGCTTCTTTAACATATAATGGAGGCAATGTAATGAGGAGGCAACTGAAGGAATGAGCAGCAGCAAGAGAACACAGAGGATGTGCTGGTTTATATACTATGATTGGCTCAGTAAGGTGGTGCAAGTCCATGCAAGACTATATGAGGGAAAAGGAAGAACCTTAACATCAGCTCTGGCTTGCACTGGCAGCATGTGAATGGGTGTTATATGACGGTTCTTTTCTACTCTTGTCACGACTGGGGGCAGAGAATTAAAATTTTTAATAGGAAGTCATGCACAAATCATGCTCTTGATTACAGGATAAAGATGCCTATTGAATTCCCGATGTGTTCTCACGTCCCAACCCTCAAACAACCCATTGAAGAAGTGTAGGCTGACCACAGTGTTCTATAACACAATATTCCTCCCATAGACAGTCCAACAGCACACCCTCATGCTGGAGTTTAAGCCATAATCCAGCAGCGGGTGGATTAATATTCACTCCCCTCTAACCCGTACAGATGTGTCTGAGTCCTTCTATGAATGAGATTACAGTTTATCTGATCTTTGTTGACCGGTGTTTGAAAAGTGCAAACTGAGAGGTTCCCTCGAGCAGTTTACTCATCGTCAGCTGAAACATAAATTGCGTGAGATTTTAAGCGGCATTACATTAAAAAAGTGACAACACAAGTACAAAAGAAAGCCCGGTGGCCAGCATGGTGAGCATGTGTGTTCCTGCATACAGCCGGGAGGGTTTATAAATATTTTAACGCCGTTCCTTTTCTTACTGTATCTAAAGTGTGTGTGTAGAGCTTCTTCACACAAATAAAATGCACATTATTAGTCGAAAACGTTGCTCTAACCTGAACTGAAACGCGGTTTGGGGTGTGTTCAAGAAGCTGTTAGTCATGTATCTCAAATGAGGGGCATTAGCTCCATTCAATATGCACATCCTCGAATTCATTTCAGATGCATGTGGAACGTATTGAAAAAGCGCTTGAACCAGGGCTGCAGGAGCGTGTAGGAAGGAGCTGACGGCAAGGCTCAGCGGGACACCAAGAAATTGAAATAAATCCGAGATTTACTCAGGCGTCACGCTTCATACTTCATGTTGTTTACGCAGGAGATAAGCAAAGGGGTTTTGGCAAAGTGAACTGAGGAGCAAATCTTCTCTTGGTAAATAATTTGAGTGTCTGCATGTGTATTTTACTATACTTGACTTCTGTTTGCACTGCAGTGGTAAGACGGAAATGCACAATATTTCCCATTTAATAATGGTTCATTGACCTTTTATTCATTTTTTAACTCCACTAATCCAACATTTCTTGAACAAAACACACATACAGTAGAAACTATAAGGAGCGTATGAACAAAAATGTATTTACACAACCATCTTCATAAATTTGATTGAATGAAATAGAAAGAAAAGTTACTAATTAAAAGATTGCACACATTAAAGGGCACCTTTAGGGGGCTTGTGAGCTATGGCAGCGAATAATAGACAAACACAGAGCTCAGAAATTGAACGGATGTATGTAAGTGCTTCATAATAACAGAGAAAAGCAAAAACATAAAATACAAAAACAAGAATGTTATATAAGAAAAAGAGAGATTCAGCAAACTAAAATATGTCAAGAGTGCATTTGGAGGTTTTTCCTAACTCTTCATCTCTCAGCTCAGGCAGCAGTTGACAGGTGAATAATTTACTGTGATCTCATTAACCATCAAATAAACGAGGACACTAATTACCAAGACTCCATCTAATTAACTCTGTGATTCATTTAGGCAGCCATTGGTTAACGGTATAATTAATTATCCCAGATTCACCAAAGCCACAATACAATATTCTGTCTAATCTGTTGCTTAACCTTTAAAAAAAAACAACAAAAGCAAAAGTGATGTATTTGTTGCGCACGTGCAGTTTAACGCAGAACATCAGCTGTAGGAGCTGATCAGAGATCGGTGATCAGTTGAGGTGTGGTTCAGCTTCGATTAAATGTAAACAAAAGGTTAATAAGGCGGTGACAGCTTGCTGAGTTTCAATTAGCCTCAGATGGCTGACTGTGACACCCGTCCAAATCTCATTTCCCTCCTGCTCGTAGTCCAGCCAGCAGACAGTGTGTCATGCGTGTGTGTGTGTCTGTGGAAAAAAAAGAGTCGGGTTAGTCTGGTTAAGCCTGATAATGTGCTTCTGTGAAACGCTCACCTCACCTTGATCTCTTCCTTTTTCCTCTATTTCTCCGTAGCGTCACATGCAGAAACGCTGCTGCTGACTGCGTGCCAGGATTATTATGGGATTTCGAGAGCTCGGTTCTGGTCGTGGTGTTATAATGTCATGCTGCCAGTCACTTTTTAATTTCTGCTCTCTTTTGCCTGCCAGCCACTAACTCACCTGTTGTTTCAGCCGGTTCCAATCACCTGATCCCCACACCGGCCTCTGTACCTGTTTCCAGGTCCCTAATTACTCTCCCACTTTATATGACAACGTGCTGCCAAGCTTGAAAATCAGTGCAACCCTGTGGAGCTGCCCGTCCAGTTTTGACCGTTTTCCCTTTTCTGTATTCATTGCCACCCATTCTTTTTCATCTGTGTTATTGCTGAAACACTTGAGAAGCCTCTTTTCTACAGTTTTTTGTGATCCTCTAGCTTAGGCACCTTTGGACATTACCATATTGTTGTTGGGTGTGCTTCACCGTAGATGGGTCTTGGTCTCAAGATCAGTCGAAAGACCACTTTTTGCTGGATCTTGACTTGTCCCCAAACACTGAGGACTCTGGATTTTATTTCAAGGCCGATCAAGACCATAACTGTGGGGAACCACAAAACTGCCTGTGCCTTGTTTGATCTATTTGTTAACATCATTAATGTGATTTAATTAAAATCTGACTCATTTCTAATGAGACATTTTCTTACTGTTAATGGCTGTCACCCTTCCCTGCCACCTCACACACACTACGAGAAAGAAAATGCAGGAGATGAAAGAAGAAGTTGCAGCTGTCTGGGAGGAGAAATCAGACAAATGTTCTGTAATAAAACTAAACCACAGTGTTCATCTGCAGCAGTGTGCAAAGTCTGCATTGCAATTTCTTCCTTGAAATCACCTCACACGTCACCTAGAGAGATTTAGTAAATATTAGCTATACATATCAGGTACATATCTGCAGTGTGTCATGCAGTGTGGGACTCTTGTCTTGGTCTCTATAAACGCTGGTCCTGGTCATGACTTGATCTTGTTTTAAGTTATCTTGATGACAACACCATTTCCATCCATATATTAAAGGAAGGCGTAGCAATCGTGAAGTCACCCGTTGGTTTGTGGACTATTGTTATGAAGCCTGGAGTTTAGCATTTTGGCCATTGCTGTGTTGGTTTTTGAAATCATACGAGTCGGACTAGAGGAGCCAAAGATACTATGCATGATGATACAGTGGCGACCTGTCAATCATTTATTTACAAGGTGTGTCAGAAAAGTTCCAGGACTGGTGTCACAAAAGATATATTTCAAACCCAAACTACAAGTTTTCCCCTTCACGTCTACAAAGAGATCCTGCGGCGTTTGCTTCATTCAGTGCGCGAGGAGAGGTGAGAGTTGTGGCAGGACAAGTCGCGGCTGCTTCACCATGACAACGCGCCTGCTCACAATACCCTGAGCATCCCACAGTTCCTGGCTGAGAAGAACATCGGCGTCCTGGAGCAACCTCCCTACTCACCCCACCTGGCTCTGTGGGATTTTTTCCTCTTCCCCAAACTTAAGGGGTCATCAAGGGGACCTGTTTAGAAGACGTGGACGACATCAAGATGGCTGTGATGATGGAGCTGCGGAGGATCCAAGAAGAATCCTTCCAGGAGTGCATGGTGGCGTGGCAGAGAAGGCTGGGAAAGTGCGTTAGACTCCAGGGAGGTTACTTGGAAAGGGAACCTTGTAGTTTGGATTTGAAATATATCTTTTGTGACTCCAGTCCTGGAACTTTTCTGACACACCTCGTATTTGACTCTAAATGGGACCATAATGAACAACATTAACATGGAACTGTGTTCAGGAAGTCTTGACACAAACAATTGAGACCATAAACGCATGAAGGAAACATTTACTAAGGTAACAGATAAAGTGAGAAGGAGAGTTATTTTCTCAAAGATTGCTAAACAGCCTTTTTTTTCTTTTTGCAACCAGAGAGTCGCCTCCATCTGGCTGTTAAGAGAAACGCAGGTTTAAGATACTTTTCTGTTGGCCCAGAGGTTACACCCATCTGTGGCTGCCATGTCGTATTTTAAGCTGTGGGCAGAGAATCCTGGTTAAGTGGAGTGCTGGCTGCATTTGAGGCTTGAACATTAGACGGTAATAAAAAAAAATGCTGTGATAAATTTTCGTCTTTTTATAGCTCTTAAGTGTTGGCAGAGTCACTACAGAAATTATTTGGATTCAGGAATGACAGGCTGTGTGAAAAATGTTTTCACCCGTCTGTATTATTTACAATGTTTGTTATTTATGTGCACCAAGATGACTAGCACATAAAGGCATGGAGTCTTTTGGGGTTTTCGAGTGCACCCTCTGATCACCTCTTGAAGTAAATTTGCAGTTTCGGTCTAGTCTTTCTGTTGCTGTGCAGTTACAAAGAGAAATTTATAAATTCTTTAAAGTCAGGGAAAATTATATTACATTTTAATACTGACAACGTTACAAAATCTGTCTTTAACAAATACTATGTCTCATCTTTGTGTTTTTCAGGTGGTGCGTGACCAGATCACCCACTGCACCATGAAGCTGCGTCAGACCACCGGCATGATGGAATACTGTCTAGAAGTCCTGAAAGAGAACGATCCCAGTGGTTTCCTCCAGGTATCTGACCCAAAACACATCCGTATCCATAAGACTGTATGAGTGTAAGAGTTTCATGGCAAGTTTTTGAAAGTAGGCCCTGCAAAAGGGGAAACCATGCATAGCACAGGAGTGTTCAAGATAGTTATTTCATTGTAATATCTTTTATTACTGATCACACTGTCTCTGAAGAACTAAAACCTTCAGTTACTGTATCCCAGTTGATTATTAAGAACCCCAAAACCCATGGGTGGTTTTAAAAGGGTTGTAATCATTAAAAAAAATGCCAAAATCACGCTGTTTATCAGAGACAAAAACTGTAGAAACATCCATCCATTATCTATACATTGGTTAATCCTCCCAAG